TGCTGAGGATCAGAGATCAAAGCAGGCAGCAAGGAATTGGAATGAGAAGTGGGGCATTAATCATGGAAGATTAGGATTAGTGGTGTGGAAGCCGTGTCGGGGAACAGGAAGTAGGCCAGGCTGTCTTCTCTCATCGAGTCAGGGATTCTGAGAGAAGATGCAGGCAGTGAGAAAGATAAGCTTCTGTTAAGGCACCTGTCCTATGCCAAGTGACATTACAGAATGACACTGTGTGCTGTTGGGAAGTATGTGGTTGAAGAAAGAGACATGTTTTTAAAATGTCTGTGAAACAGACATAGTAAACCAGGGCAAGCTACATGTGAGACAGTCTCTCTTTAATTCCTGTAAAATAGGACTTTGGTAATGGTGTCATAATATTGCTTTGTTTGATATTTTTCCTAAGAGTTGAAACACCATCCTCTCTTCAGTGATGTGGACTGGGAAAATCTACAGCATCAAACGATGCCTTTCATACCCAAGCCAGACAATGAAACTGATACATCTTATTTTGAAGCCAGGAATAATGCCCAGCACCTGACAGTATCTGGATTTAGCCTATAGCACATAAATTTTCCCTTTAATCTAACCTTGCCTTATAGAATATGCTAGCATAATTACATACGCCTTAATACTAGATTGATCTAAGGGGAGAAAAATCATTATTTTACCCGGATCAATGAGCTTTTCATGTATGTTACAGCTTCCACAGCATTAAAAGGCTATCAAGAACATAATCAGTAATTTGTCTTAATCTCAGAATTGTACATAGATCTTCAAAGCTTTTTTCAACTTATTTATTTTGTTAGTGCACTTTATGAAAATTAATGCTTCAGTAAAACTAGAAACATGACCACTTTAGAGAAAGAGTGAACCTCGAGCTTGATTTTCTTTCTCATCTGTTCATTTCAGTCCACCATTCAGTTTGATGTTAATATGACAAAAACATCATACAGTTTTATTTTAGTGTAATTTATCTGTACCTGATTGCCTGCAAAAGCCAATCATTTAAGGCTATAACTGTGACTTCAAAAATGCAGTTGGAAAATTCCTTCATTCAGTAATATAACTCCTTTCAGGAATGAGGAATAAACAAAAGGACGAGGGTTTTGGCTTATTTTGCTATGAATACAGTTTTGCTGCCTTGACTGCTTCTGGTGCTTTTTCTACAATACATATGTATTTAAAATAGTACTGGAGAGCTTAGGTGAGATATACTGTAGCAATTTTAACAAAAAATGTAATGGTTTACATTTTTAAATAATTTGCTTAAAACATATGCAGCATTACCAGAATAGCCGGATTCTTTTAAAAAAAATAACTTACTTTCACTTAATAAATATAATTGTAACATACTTTGATATATTCTCTGTCAACATCATTCTTTTAAATATAGATACACTATGATTCAGCTTCACAGGTCATATCTTAAATTCATTCAGGTTTTTTGCAGACTTACCCCCCAAAAGAGAAAAGTTCAAATTTAAATGTACCATGTGTAAATTTTCTGTTAATCTATTAAATACTATTGTTCCTTTTGCAGAATGGCTTGAGTGTTTTTACTTTCCATCACCATCCCAGTACGAGCAGTGTTATTAATGTAGTTGACGAAGATAATATAAAACTGTTACAGTGAAAGAGACACTGTAATAATCATTGCAATGTAACTGAATCCATGATTTAATGGTTTTACTGAGCTTGTTTTAGTAATGACTACTCAGATATAATCCTCCTAATAGTTACCTCTTCTAACAATAATATGTTAAAAATACAGTTGTTAACAATTAAAATTTTGTTTAATGTAAATTACATCTTTCCCTTAAATTAGGTAAAAGCTAGGATTATTTTTCATCCTCTTATGGAATTTTCAAGTAGTAGAAAGAACACTGGCTTTGGAATCAAGCACAAATGGTTTAAACCATTGCTCTGCCAGAGTAAAAAACCTTGGGTGGATTAAACTCTGATTGTTTACCTGTATTGTGAAGATTAATTATGAGGAACTTCCAGGACACCAGTCTTATCAGGGATTTGAAACATTACTGAATAATCGAGGGGGATGTACATTGAACCTATTCCCAATGCAGGAGACAGTGCCCTTAAGTGGAAAAGTTAAGAACAGTTTGCTGTTGCAGCCCTAGCAGGCGCAGCGATGGCCACCTGGAATTCTGCATGCTGTAATGGTGTTTGCTGGGAACAAGTGATTTATTATCTAAACTTAAACCGTTTTGTGGGTTCAGATACTCATTAAGGAAAAACCTGAGACAGAACAAGAATGGAAAAATGGAAGTGTTTTGGCAGTTGTATGGATGTGTGTGCATACATGTCTTTGAAGAACACAGATTGCTCTGCCAGCAGAAATCTGCATTCATTACTATATATAATTTTTATTAATTAAAAATAATTTTCCCCCCCCTTCCACTAACTGTTAAACAAATATAGAAAACCTATTTACTTTAGTGTACCTTTGTCAGAATTAAATTAATTAATTTACTTTAGTGTACCTTTGTCAGAATTAAATTAAATTAATTAAATTAAATTAAGTTGTACAAAGTAGGTAGCAAACATAAAAGGTGTTTAATAAATGATCATTATTTGAGCCCTAAGTACCCTACTACTTCTCAGAATATTTGTCTTAATTTGGGGTTTGGGAAATGGTTGCTATATAAAACTCTGCTATTATTCTCCAAAACATCTTGAAGATCACTTTCAGGTCTGATCACTCTGTTTGCCAGGAAGAACCATCTTGTTTTTAGCCAGTGAAGAACATGCTCAGAGTCCAAAAGATTGTGCAAATATTTACCATTTCTACCAGGCCTCCTTTCAGTTAATACCAAGCCAGCTGTGGATGGGTCATTCTTATAACTATGGAAAGTGGACTGGTCACGGCAACATTTGAAGGAGGGAGACTGAATAGAAGGCTACTGAACCAGCCCACCTGGATTCAAGACATATTTTAGAAGTGCAATCAATATGACTAACTGATGGATGGGATGAGGGTGAAAGAATGGGAGTTTTGAGCTGGTTTGTTACATAGCATCATTGCAGCAAATACCCTTCCTATACATCCCAACTTACAACAAAGTGACATTTCAGACACCAGAAAAAAGAGAATATCCTATAAGCATCCAAAGAGAAAGAAAAGAGGATGGTAAGAGATAACAGAAAATATATATATTGGTCTCTGCCTCCTGTTCCTGCACAGAGCTCCTAATATACTTCTATCAATAATTTCCAAAGGGATAAGAGCACCAGGAGCAATTTTTTTGTTCTCATATTTGGTCTTAGACTCTGGTTCCTGACCCAGGGCTTCTGGCTCCCTTGGGATTTCCTGGGTGATAGCACTGTCCTTTGTTCTAATGAGGTGACTCTGGGTGGGCTCCTGTAGGGGGGCCTGTCAACAGAAAGACCCAGCCATAATTAGAAGCTTGGAACTTTCTGGGACTTCTCTGGTGGTCCAGTGGTTAAGACTTCATGCTTCCACTGCAGGGGCACGGGTTCAATCCCTGGTCGAGGAACTAAGATCCTGAATGCCATGGGGTCAGAAAACAAACAAGCTTGGAATTCTCAGGCCCACCCTCCATTCTCCAGAGAAAGGAGAGGGGCTGGAAAGGGAGTTAATATTTGATTGTGCCTGTGTAACTAATCCTCCATCAAAATCCCCAAAGTACAGGGTTTGGAGAGCTTCTAGTTGGTGAACATGTGAAGGTGCTGGGAGAATGGTGCCCCCCAGAGAGGGCATGGAAGCTCCACACTCCTTCCTGCATACCTTGCCCTATGCATCTCTTCCATCTACACGTCCAACTCTATCCTTTACCATATCCTTTAGTAACAAACTGATAAACAGTAAACTCTTTACACATGAGCTGTGACTGCAAAGGAAGGAAAAAGAATGAAATCTTCAATTTTCAGTAGATGGGGGACTTCCCTGGTGGCGGTGGCACAGTGGTTAAGAATCCACATTCCCAATGCAGGGGGCTCGGGTTCGATCCCTGGTCTGGGAACTGGATCCCACATGCATGCCACAACTAAGAGTTTGCATGCCACAACTAAGAGTTTGCATGCCACAACTAAGGACCCAGCGAGCCACAACTAAGGAGCTTGCCTGCTGCAACTAAAGAGCCCACGTGCTGCAACTAAGAAGCTGGTGACCTGCAACTAAGGAGCCCACCCTCCTACTGCAACAAAGACCCGACGCAACCAAATACATAAGTAAATAAATGAATAAAAAAATTGTTTTTCAGTAGAGGGAAGTAAATAGATAATTCCCAAAACAGAAGTATCAAAAAGTAGCAGTTCAAGAAAGCAAACAAACAATGATGAACAACATAATTATTGAAATTAAAAATACTCTAGAAGGACTCAATAACAGAATAACTGAGACAGAAGAATGGATAAGTGAGCTGGAAGATAAAATGGTAGAAATAACTGCCAGGGAGCAGAATAGAGAAAGAAGAATGAAAAGAATTGAGGACAGTCTCAGAGACCTCTGGGACATTAAATGCACCAATATTCTAGTTGTAGGTGTCCCAGAAGAAGAAGAGAAAAAGAAGGAGTCTGAGAAAATATTTGAAGAGATTATAGTCGAAAACTACCCTAACATGGGAAAGGAAATAGTCAATCAAGTCCAGTAAGCACAGAGAGTACTATACAGGATAAACCCAAAGGGGAACATGCCGAAACACATATTAATCAAACTATCAAAAATTAAATACAAAGGAAAAATATTAAAACCAGCAAGGGAAAAGCAACAAATAAGATATGAGGGAATCCCCATAACGTTAATAGCTGATCTTTCAGCAGAAACTCTGCAAGCCAGAAGGGAGTGGCAGGACATATTTAAAGTGATGAAAAGGAAAAACCTACAACCAAGATTACTCGACACAGAAAGGATCTCATTCAGATTTGATGGAGAAATTTAAACCTCTACAGATAAGCAAAAGTTAGAATTCAGCACCACCAAACCAGCTTTACAACAAATGCTAAAGGAACTTCTCTAGGCAGGAAACACAAGAGAAGGAAAAGAGCTACAAAAACAAACGCAAAACAATTAAGGAAATGGTAATAGGAACATACATATCGATAATTACCTTAAATGTAAATGGATTAAATGCTCCAACCAAAAGACACAGACTGGCTGAATGGATACAAAAACAAGACCCGTACATATGCTGTCTACAAGAGACCCGCTTCAGACATAGGGACACATACACACTGAAAGTGAGGAGATGGAAAAAGATATTCCATGCTAATGGAAATCAAAAGAAAGCTGGAGTAGCAATTCTCATATCAGACAAAATAGACTTTAAAATAAAGACTATTACAAGAGACAAAGAAGGACACTACATAATGATCAAGGGATTAATCCAAGAAGAAGATACAACAATTGTAAATATTTACGCACCCAACATAGGAGCACCTCGATACATAAGGCAAATGATAACAGCCATAAAAGGGGAAATCGACAGTAACACAATAATAGGGGACTTTAACACCCCATTTTCACCAATGGACACATCATCCAAAATGAAAATAAGGAAACACAAGCTTTAAATGACACATTAAACAAGATGGACTTAATTGATATTTATAGGACATTTCATCCAAAAACAACAGAATACGCTTTCTTCTCAAGTGCTCATGGAACATTCTACAGGACAGACCATATCTTTGGGTCACAAATCAAGCCTTGGTAAATTTCAGAAAATTAAAATCATATCAAGTATCTTTTCTGACCACAACACTATGAGACTAGGTATCAATTATAGGAAAAAAACTGTAAAAAATACAAACACATGGAGGCTAAACAATATGCTACTAAATAACCAAGACATCACTGAAGAAACCAAAGAGGAAATCAAAAAATACCTAGAAACAAATGACAATGAAAACACGACAACCCAAAACCTATGGGATGCAGCAAAATCAGTTCTAAGAGGGAAGTTTATAGCAATACAATCC